ATATTCACAAAGTAACCATCAACACTATCAATTCCAGAAAAATTTCATCACCCCAATAAGAAATCTAGCTGGGTTGTTAAGATTACAGGTATACGCTTAACAACTCAAGGGGCTAAAGTAGGAGGATTCCAAGTTCCAGGCCAGCCTCAGCAAATTAGCAACTTAGGGAGGCTCTAAGCAATTTAGCAAGACCCTGTTTCAGAATAAAAAATAAGAATGGATGGGGCTGTAGCTCAGTGGTAAAACAACCCTGGGTTAAATCACCAGTACCAAAAAGAAAAAGAAAAAAAAAAAACTATAACATTAGCAATCACTCTCCATTCCACTCTGTTCCACCCTTTCCAACCCCTAGTAACCACTAATCTACTTTGTCTTACAGACTTGCCTACTCTGGTCATTTCAAATAGAATGTACAATATGCGGATTTTTGTGTCTGGCTTCTTTCACTTAGATTTAAAAAAATTTTTAAGGTTTATCCACGTTGTGACATACATTAGTACTTTCTTTATATGGCTTAGAAATATTCCATTGAATAGATATTACCACATTTTATTTACTCATTATCCACTGATAGACATTTGGATTATTTCCACTTTTTGGCTCTTATGAATAATAATAATATAACATTTGTGTGCAAGTTTTTGTGGGAACATGTTTCTTCAATTCTCTTCAGTAGATATGTAGGAATAGATTATTGGTTGAGTATATTACTTTTATAATTTAAAAATACACACACACACACACAGAAAACTGATTTTTAGTGGAAAATGTTGACTTTCTGTGCCACCAAACTCGGGGCTGCACAAATACCATTTCCTTCTACAAAGGACAAATTATTATATCAGAGAAGACAGGCACAGGAAAAGCAAAACAAAGATGGCCCTACCTGACAAGGCATGAGCCTCTGCCAGGCATTTATAACAGACAATGAATTTAGGATGCCAGCGAAGATGCATTAATACAATGGGTTGTAAACTGTATAAAATTCCTGTATTTATTGGCAAAGCTATAACAAAGACAATATTTCTATGTATATTCACATTTTGTTCATGTTTTCTCCTACCACGATTTTCAAGAGCCAGCTAGATTTTATTTTTTGATTTAAAATTCCATTTCCCAAACTCAACCAGCATAAATTAAACATTTATTACAGCAAGGTAGAAAATTGTAAAACAATACAATGCTAATAATTAATATGATCTCCATCTACTTTCAGGAAAAACAGGTTAAGCTAACCACATAAAAATCTCAACATCAAAATTGTTCAGTATAATCCATTTAAACAAGTAAAGATAAAGTACTTATTTCATATGTAAACTATGCTGAAGCAACACATTCTAACAAACCTGAACTCTTTATTGTGTCTTTTACAAGTTACAAATTTCTTATAGTTCAGCAACATTCCAATAATATTATAGAGTTGATAGAGTTGTCTATCTAATTGCTAAGAAAAACTAGAAAATTCTATATCACAGTTCATGGTTAGAAAGTGTGGACTTGTGAGACATTTTTTCTTTTTCTTTCTTTCCACGTTACTTTTTTTAATATTTATTTTTTAGTTGTAGTTGGACACAATACACTTATTTATTTGTATGTGGTGCTGAAGATTGAACCCAGGGCCTTGCACATGTGAGGCAAGCACTCTACCGCTGAGCCACAACCTCAGCCCCTTTCCATATTACTTTTGAGACTTTACCTTCAAATTCTTTCTCACTCCCTTATTAGCTATGTGACCTTAGGCAAATTACTTAAACTTTCTGAATCTCAGTGTCCTAATAAAATGTGCATAAAGATACATGCTTTTAGCTGGGTGCAGTAGCACAGGCCTGTAATCCCCACAGCTCCAGAGGCCGAGACAGGAGGATCATGAGTTAAACTCCAGCCTCAACAACTCGGTGAGGCCCCGTCTCTAAATAAAATATAAAAAAGGGATGGGGATGTGGCTCAGTGGTTAAGTGCCCCTGTGTTCAATCCCTGGCACAGAAACAAAACAAAAAAAACAAACATGCTTTTGGAGTCTCATAAGAAAAAAAAAAAGCAATAATTTGGCACAAAGCATGTATTCAATAAATAACAGCTGCTGTTGTTCTTTTAAATCTTATTTTAAATATTAAGTTGTTTATGCCAATAATTTTCCTTAGATGAATATAGGGGGAGAAATGTGCTCTTCTATAAGACAAATATTGATGTTGCTTTTTTTTTTATGTCTACCCCAGTTTTAAAACAAAGAGATGCTACCACAAGGCGTGGCATAAGAAACCATAAAGTCTAAGCAGTTATATCATTTATGTTAGAAATAAAAATGATCTAGTCATTTTGATCATAATGCACATTTACTTCTGATTCTTGTTTCAAAATTATTATGTTCTCTTTGATGTATTAATGAGAAATAACCCTTTTTAATAAAAGACAATTTTATTCTGTAGCATTCTATGGTAGGGGAAAAATCACTTTTGCAAAGAATTATAAGCATCAAATCCACATGCAGGCAGAAATGGAAATTATCTGGACTTTTGCATGTTAAATACATACAAGTCAACATAACATATTCTATTTGAATTCATCATTGCCAATCACTACAAAATGAAAGTTCAGTTATTCAATGTATAGTGAAATCTCAGCTTTTTAGAACTCTAGTTAAATGTATTTATTATTAATTGATGTTCAGGAAAGAGGTAAAATGCGCAACTACTGGAATTAAGCATTTAGTCACAAAACATCTAACTTCTGGAGTTGTAAAATTGATAAATAACCATTTAGTCAAAATTTTAACTGGCTACATCATAGAATAGTACCATACTATGACAATAATTTTAATGTAGTTATTGCTCAACAAAAAACACTGTTCTATTTAATAGTCATATTACCAAGGTGAGAAGTAAGCTTTCAAGGAAGGCAGCCAGATAACCCCATATTCTCTAAAATGCAAAATCCAGGCTGAAATTGAAGAAAAATTCTAAAATACATAGGAAGGATGCACTCATAGATTCACAAATTAAGTTGGGTACTTGTGGGCACATTTGCCATAAAAAGACATAACTACCAGTCCTTCTGTCAATCAAGTAATTTATTTTATTTATTTTTTTTTTTTTTAAAGAGAGCGAGAGAGAGAGAGAGAATTTTAACATTTATTTATTCTTAGTTCTCGGCGGACACAACATCTTTGTTGGTATGTGGTGCTGCTGAGGTTCGAACCCGGGCCGCGCGCATGCCAGGCGAGCGCGCTACCGCTTGAGCCACATCCCCAGCCCCTCAATCAAGTAATTTAAATTCCACATGATTATTAGTCCCCAGTAACTACCAATACAGTCCACCCTTTCATGACCTCATCTAACATTCCTCTCTGTGTGCTGACACCTGATCCATCTTTTCTTGCACTTTACTACACACTAAAACTCCATGTATTGCTAGGCACAGTGGCTCATGCCTATAATTGGGAGGCTGAGGAGGATTATTGAAAGTTCAAGGTCAGTCTGGGTAACTTCATGGGATCACATTTCAAAGTTAATTTTAAAAAAAGGTCTGGGTATATAGCTTAGTGGTAGAACACTTGCATAGCATGGGCGAAGTTTTGGAGTCAATCCTTAGAGGGAGGAGGAATGCAGGGGGGACATCCATACATTTACCCTTTTATGCCTTTAACTTCTGGTACAAACAACAATAGGTACATAAACACATGGTTGAAAGGAGAAAGTCAAAATCACAGTATCTTATAATAGAAGGGGAAAATAATTTTTACTTGACACTTTTGAATCAATCAGAATCCATGAAAAACTACCATATACTACCATATACCATATACATGCCAATTTGTTATAGGTTGATATAGATGCATGCACACGTGCACATAACCTCCCCCGCCACCACGTACATGCTCTTCTTCCTGCTCTAGCTATTTCATTAAAGGGCCTGACTCTGAGAGAAAGCCCTGTTAGGTTCCAGTCTTGTCGATCACATTCCCACTTAGTATGGTCCATAGCGGTATCATTATGATAACCAAGTGGCATTCTGTTTAATACACATTAATTGAAACCTTTATAGTTTGGGGGACAATAAACAGCAATATAATCAAAAGAGGAGCAAGAAAACACAGGATTTTCTTTTAGTGATAAATATGACAATGGTATTTAAGCCATTAATTTTTTTATCTGAAACTAATAAAGCCCTAAAAATTGCTTCACTAAAAAAAAAAATTAATTTAGAATTTTTTTTAAAAATCTCTAGAATGTGCTATTTTGCATATAAAATGTGATAGAGTAAACAAGCAAGAAAAGGCAATTTAAAAAAAAAAAAGAAAAGGAAATTTTCACATGCACCTGAAAAATCGCCACAGGCATTTTATCAAACATACTATCAGTGCCTATATTTACCATACCTGAACATACTGTTCTGCCATGCTGCATGTTAACAAAAAAATGCAAAACAAAAACAGGGACATGTTAGCAGAGTAAAATGTAAAACTATCGCATGGAATATTATAAAATTAATTCACAAGCTTTCATATCTAGTATTACTATGGATCAGATAATTCAACTATTTTTAACTCAATTAACATGCCATGAAACTATAAGTCATAAGAGGATTACCCAAGAGACAGGTTTCATTTGTTAAAATGCTTTGTTCTTTTCAGATTTCAGAGCAAGTTGTACGATCCTGTTACAAGAGTTTCCTTGTTTAGGTCAATTGTCTAATTCACTTATTGGAGCAATACAGAGATAAAGAGAACAAGGACATGGCTTTTAGTTTATGTCTATTTGAAAAACAAAGATTTTTGTCATTATTTAGCATCCAGTAAAAATAATCATCGTCAAAGTGACGCACTACCTCAAGTCTGGAATAATAAAACTAAGATAACATTAGGCATGAAGTATTCATTTGAACTGAAAAAAAAAAAAAAAGCTGAGTTATTCATGGTTCTTAGTTCCAGGGTACAAACACCCATGTATAATTTTTCAAAATATTCAAAAACACAATCCCTATTGCCCCTTTCCAGTACTTACTTCTCTTCTGAGACACAGCCTGCAGGCAGGCAGTCACAATATCACAGTTCCTCTGTAGTTTATGCAGAAGCCTATCTTTCTGCTTCAGCTGCCGAAGTAACTTGGCCGACTGAATGCCAATTCTGTACTTGAGCTCCTGAAGGATTGCCTTCAGTTCATTAGGGTCTATAAAGAAAGAAAAATAGAAAGAGAATAAACATCTTGAGAGGAATTTAAATTTCAATGTGATATTGGTCAACAGATAAATATCTAGAACATTCATTTAAGCCAACCAATTCTAGGTTCTTCCCAAGATTACATACATGCATTCAGCTAAGACATTCCTCAAAAAAGCCACTTATTCATCTCCTGTTCTATTCATGAGGTAAATGCTGTGAATTTAACCCTTGAGGCTACTGTAGCATATAAGCAAAGATTCTTGTTTTTACCATTCCTGGTTCTGGTTGCTTCTGAAATCTGGCATGTACTTTTCTTATTTCTTTCTCTTTTGGGGAGAGAGGGTACTAGGGGTTGAACCCAAGGGTGCTTAACCATTGAGTCAAATCCCCAGCCCTTTTTAAATTTTATTTAGAGACAGGGTCTCATTAAGTTGCTTGCTTAGGGCTGGGCATGGTGGCACAGGCCTGTAATCCCATTGGCTCAGAAGGCTGAGATAGGAGGATCTTGAGTTCACAGTCAGCCTCATCAACGGTAAGGTGCTAAGCAACTCAGTAAGACCCTGTCTCCAAATAAAATACAAAATAGGGCTAGGGCTGAGGATGTGGCTCAGTGGTTGAGTGTCCCTGAGTTCAATCACTGGCATCCCCCCCCCAAAAAAAAAAAAAGAAACATACTAAGTTGCTTAGGGCCTGGCTAAGTTGCTAAGGCTGGCTTTGAACCCGAAAACCTCCTGCCTCAGCCTCCCAAGCCACTGCACCCAGTTGGTATGTACATTTTTTGTATTATTAAAGTACTCAGGTGGTAAGCCTGTAAGATAAGTTAATCATTAATGTAAAAAACTAAAAAATTTTAATCAGCTATTAAGAATCTTTTCTTTTAAACTATTCATCCTTGTAAATTATCATCCTTCTAAATAATTTTCCCACATTTTGCAATGTAGAGAAATGTAGTAATACTGATTTTGTGTTAAATATACAGTCTTCAAATAGCCTATCAGGTATAATATTTCATTTTTAGAGACTTGGTAAGTTTTCATATATAAAATATATAAGAAAATATATTTCATTTCAACAGATAAATTAGTATACATCATTTTTTTTGTACCAGGGATTGAACTCACTCAGACACTCAACCACTGAGCCACATCCCCAGCCCTATTTTGTATTTTATTTAGAGACAGGGTCTCACTGAGTTGCTTAGCACCTCGCTTTTTGCTGAAGCAGACTTTGAACCCGCAATCCTCCTGCCTCAGCCTCCCAAAGTCTCCATTCTTAAAACTAACATTCACAAAAGCATGAGATAATGCAAAAACCCTATCTCATTCCCAGTAACTCCTAGCTATCTATGGCTCTGTCATTCTCTGAATTATATACACTGTTTATGAGAAGAATTTTCAGAGTTCAGTGTGGAAATGTCTTCTCCAGTAACATCAGCCAGTATCAAAACATGCCAGGGACAGAAGTGGGTCTACATTTTTGAATGCCCTACACCAGCCACTGCCCCTTTCACAGTGTTAACTGAGAAAATTGTCACCTGTGATCAATTTCCTCTAAGGAATTCTAGTTTATATGACAACAAAAATAATCTCTAGCATTCATTGAGCACTTTATACATATTAACTTATGAAATTCTCACCACAGCCCTCTGACCCATTATTATCATCATCCTTATTTACAAAAAAATGAAAGAGACAGAGGTTAAACAGCTTGTCCAAGGTCACACAGCTAGTACAGAACAGTGGTGGGATATCAATCCAGGAGTCTAACTCCAAAGTTCATCCCTTTGACCATGGGAATACTGACAGTCCAGATTTCCTGAGAAACCATTTTGGTACCTCACCTAAAGAAAGAGCCACATGTTAAACATCAAAATAAGTGCTACATCAGTGCTACAACAAAATTCCTAACAGTGAAACAAGTGAATTAATCTACACTATTGAGGTTATCTGCATTATTGAGACTCCTACTGAATGTAAAGTAGTTTGTCCCTAATCCTTTTTATTTTTTATTTGAGACAAGTTCTGGCTAAGTTGCTTAGGACCTTACTAAATTGCTGGGGCTGGCCTCAAACTTATGATCCTCCTGCCTTAGCCTCCTGAGTCACTGGGATTACAGGCATGTGCTACTTACTACTTGACCCTTAAAGAAAAATCACATAATAAGTAGCATTATTTAAGCAGACAGCTGTATCCATCACCTGATCCTTAAATCTAACATTCTAATGATGTTTATTAACAGTGAATGTGTACCATTATAAAATGGTCATCATAGTCATCCTACCACTGCTGACTACAAAAGAAAGGATTAGCAGGGTACTAGGTACATAATAAGACTGAAACTGGGGCAAAACAGACTCTTACAGGTCTTGTGAACAATTAGTAGAGAGGTCATTCATCTGAAGTCGACTTGCAAAGCTGTACCACTTACCTCTCTTTTAAACTTTAGCTTGCCAATTTTCTTCTTCCAAAAGGAAATTACTAATCACCAAAACTCTCTCAGTAATTAAAAGTAAGTCTTGTAAAAAGAGAAAGACAAATCATAATTCTTCAAAATTGATTGTGTTGAAATCTGAAAAGTTATTGTCCTACAGAACTTTTGAGATCAACACACACTCTAGGAACACCAAATAACTGTATAAAATGAAATGGCCTAACTCCCGCCAGAGGCCAACATGGGGGAGGAAGGTGGAAGTCATTTGTAACAATCAGCTGGGAAAAAATATCTTCACTAGGAAGCCAAAAGAGGAAGCTGAAAGCTGTTCACATAGATTTGAGAAAGCAGCCAGATTTATTATTTGTTTGTTTTTCCTGGAACCAGCTAGACTGATTTTTGTACCGAGAAGATAGGAGACCATCACATAGTACTCTTGCATCCCTCCCCTGCTCATTTAGTACAAGGACATTACTTCCAAGAAATGTTATAGTGGCTTAGCTTCTGTTTTTCACATCTCACTAAATTTTGTAAATTGAGATCTTATTATATCTCTGAAAAAGAACAACTGTAATAACTTCTGCTTGAGAGGCAAGCTTTTATGAACAGTTGGGGGGGGGAGGCTCAACAGGACAAGAGCCTCAGAGTTTGATAACAAAAGAAACACCAAATTAGCCTTTCCTCCCATGAAGCCAAGGCCATTTTGTGGGATCAACCTCTCCATGCCAACGGAAGGTACCAGCAGTTATTCTGCAATGAAGCCAATGCTCTAGGACTCTCCACTAATCCGCCATGGTGAACCGGTGAACAGAACAAAACACCTGGTGAAGCTCGGAACCTTGCGTTCTGGTGGAAATGGAATTCGCACGCTCTGCTTTTGAAACCACATTATCGAATTATTCTGCCTCACTAGTTAAACACTAAATAGTGTGGCTAGGGAAAGCGAACTTAAAAAAAAAAAAAATCCCTAGGAGTCATCTCTATTCTCCCAGCGTCCTCTAGGCAACTTCAGGTATACGTAGCAGAAACTCCAACCCAGTCCTGACAGCTGTTCCGAAGAAATTAGGATTCCGGCTGCCTCTTCCCTTGGGCCTCCACAAACACTTGGGGGAAAGTGGGAGGAGAGACCCCGACCATTCCAACAACTGATACTCTAAGGGACACCTGGAGAGAGGATGGGAGAAGGGGCATAAGAACTTAGCGCAGTCATGAATGTGTGACCATGGAGGCACCAGAGTCAATTCGAGGAGAGACCCAGAACTTAATAGCGGATCTCTCGGCCTCTCGGTTCAGGTGCTCGCAGGTGAGCGCAGGAGTCCCGCTCCCCCGACTCACCTTTCTGCCGCAGGTACTGCATCTGGAGCCGCTGGCTCGGCCGCTCCTGCAGCTCCTGCAGCACGCGGGAGTCGCCGGCGCCGCGCACGCCCAGGAACACGTCGGAGCCCGAGGCCTCGGTGGAGCTGTCCAGGCTGTCGCGGCGCCGCGGGCGGCCCCCCGGACCGCGGCTCCCGGCAGCCACCTCCTCCTCCTCCGTGCAGCTGTACAGCTCGGTGAGCAGGCCGCTCACCAGGGACGCCGTGCGGCTCGTGCGGCCGCGGGGCTGTTGGCCCGGCTCGGGCTCCGGCTCCTCCTCGCCTTCCCATGAGCCGCGGGAGCCGGGCGGCCGCTCCGCCGTCCCTTGCGGGGGTACAGTCCCGGCCACTCCAGGAACCGCTTCCTCCACCGCGTGCTCTAGCCTCACCTCGCTGCCACCGCGGAACTCCCGCTCCGGGCGCCCCGTCCGGCCCCCGCTGGCGGGAAGGACCTCCATGGCCCCCGGCGCTCCGCAGCCCCGCGCTAGCCGCCGGTCCCGCCTCGCGGCGCCGGCCAGTTCCGGGAGGAGGTGGACCTCGTCCCCGCCTGGGGTGCCCTGGGCCTGGCGCAGTGCCAGCGGGCTCCGGATTCCCGAGGCAGCCAGACCTTCCCTCCCGGGGCCCGCCCCGAATCCGCTGAGCTGGGCTGCGGTCTCCGGCGAAGGGGGACCTCCACGCCGCGGGGTTACCTGGGGACACCTGCCACCGGTGAGGCACCACTTCTCCGAGAACGCTCTCTGATGAGTGTCAAGGAGCAGGATGTGGCCAGAGCCGAGCAGGATGAAGCCGTCAGCCCGAAGGGGGATGGGCTCTCTGGCCGCTGCCACCTTCACTTTTAAGCACGTGATTTAATTCAAAATGAGGGCAACTCTTGCATCTTATTGAGCTACCAGCTTGATAGAATGCCCGGGAGGGTTTTAAGCGCCAGTCAATAGGCCCAGGTCAGAAACAACTTCTTCCCATAGGCGGGCACAATGCCCAGCCCTTCTCACCTTCCCTCACCATCTGGGAGCCTTTGAAGGCGTTCTAGTTTAGTTTTTGACAAAAACTTTTCCAAAACTCTGAACACCTGGCATATACTTGGGATTTAATAACGCTGAGAACTTTTTTCTTTCGGTGAAAAACAAAGTACTGATTAACATCAACTAATTCCCTGACACAAGACATAATACAGAATGAGGATTTAATAAATCGTCATGAGATGATCAAACTAATAAGTTGACGGAACCAGTTTTAACAGTAAAATTATGCTTATGAAAGATGTTTTTACACTAGAGCTCAGTAGAAGATAATTGAGGTGCCCCTCCACCTTAGATATTTTTATGAATTTAATAATCATCAACATTTTTAGCACTTTTTGCATTCCAGGCACTGTTATGATTTACATGAATTATCCCACTTAATCCTCACTTCAATACTATAAAGCAGGTAAGCACTACTTTAACCTCACTTTTCAGATGAGGGAACTGAGGGAAAGAGGCTAAATAACTTGCCCATTCACAAAGAATGACAAAGAATGAAGCTTGAAGTGCCTGGCTTTCATTATGGAAGAATATCTGTTAGTATAATGCTGTTTAAATAGTTGGGCATCCTTCTAACAGAGGGAACAACACATAGCATGAACAATAGTGGTGCTTTCTGTGTGTTCAGCACACTTTTTATATTTAAAGGCATTTTCATAAGAGAGGCTGACCCTATAAGTAGAAACCTGGTGTCATCATTTGACATCACCACGACAACAAATACAACCCTTTTTTAAATTGGTCTTGATATAAAGAAAATTGAAGCTTTGTGCCTTTTCCTCTTAGATATCTAGAATTTAAAATTATACTGGAAATATTTTATGGTTTTTGCAACATATTAACTTCTGCTAGTATTTATAAAATGGAGGGTGTGTATTTATTATATTGCTGCTGTTTTGTGTTTGAATTTCTTTTTTTTTTCTCTATTGTCCCTGGCATTGAATAAGTATTAAGAGCCCTCTTCATAGGCCAAACTTTGCAACAAGCAGGACTTTCATAGGAGCAAATGCTGAAATTAGATCTCTCTTCATTGACTTCCCAGCCCTTTCTATCTCCTTCCACTAAGAAGAGATGTGTTGTAACTACTGGTCTTTATTATTCTTATTATTATTTAAGGTTTTTCTACCAGGAACTATAAAGGAACTCAAAGTGGGAAGAGAATGAAAAAAAGAGGCTAAGAAAACAGTAGACATTAACATTCAGATTTCTAAATTGATCAAAACTTCAAAATTATTAACCATTTCCCATCATTTCCAAATTACTAGTAAAGAGGAAATTGGCAAACTAAAAACTAAGAAGACAGGGTCAAGGTCACTGTACTTACCCACAGATATCTACATAACTCTTTTCTTACCTGGGTCAGGTGTCTGCTTAAATATCCTCAGGGGGTACCTCCCTGACCATCTAGACTGCAGCTCCCCATCCCTCAGCATTCCCAATTTCCCTTCTTTGTTCTGTTTTTCCACAATACTCATCATGCTCCTTCATACTACATAATTCATGGATTTTTAAATCTGTCTTCTTCCACAAAAATATAGGCTTATGAGAGCAGGAACTTTTGTCAATTTTGTTTATTGATATATGCCCACCACTTAGAGCAGTCCCTGGCAGGTGATTAATAAATATTTTCTGAATTAATTGAGTGGATAAAATAAAAACTAGAGAAAATAGCAGCTAATTACCAACCTTCCAAAGAAAAGCAAGTTCCATTAAAGAGAATCCTGTACAGGTGTGGGCAAAGGGCAGTCCCCTTTCCAATGCACATTATTGCTGCCAGGTGACTGGGAATTCCCCAAATAAGAACTTTGAAGTTCTAAGGCTTACTCTTGGATATAAGGGAACCATTGATCTAATAGAACATAACTGTCAAAACTAATTGTTAATTCTAAGACTAATAGCTAAAATGCAATGTACTAAATTAATTATGCTGCTGATAATAATTAGTATTTTGATTTGGAAATTTAGTTTTAATGTTTAATTGTTCTAATAAGTTAATATCAGATACAACTGGGATACAAATTCCAATACTGCACTATAAGGAACTAAAAAGCATCTATTCCTGAGTTCAATTTGCTAGAATACAATTTATGAAAATCTCATGTAGAATCTATGTATTATGACCATTTATTTCCAAACCTGTAACAAGGTCTCACCATATCCTTCAGATATCCATTATTTGAAACCACCTTTACAAAACTCTGACCATTTTTACAATTTTTTTAGCATGTAAAAATGCCCACATAAAGTCTAATTGCTATGAGGAAAGTTATGATTATTTCTGGGATGGGCAGTTTCTAATACCCAGCAGTTAACCTTTTACTCTAATCTATCAGGAATTACTCATTCCCTGAGTCAGAAGAAAAATACAAGAGCTTATTGCTGCATTTTGGTTCATCCTCATGGGAACTCAATTTTGTTCTTTAATTTTTTGTTTATAATTAACTTATATGCTTGGAATACAATGCAGTCTGTATTTTCAATTCAGAACTATACATGAGGAATATGCTTATATTTTTTCAATCCAAAAGGATGGAATGAGAGGTTTAAAAAATGGTTTTTAGTACTTTTTAAAGCCATCCATCTGGGTTGGGGATATAGCTTAGTTGGATATAGCTTGCCTTGCATGCACAAGGACTCTGGGTTCAATCCCCAGCACCATGTAGACACACACAAAAAAATTGGCAAATCTTACTGTATGTTAATTATACCTCAATAAAACTGACACAAAAATTGTTTTTTTAAAAAAGCATCAAACCTGGACTGGGGATGTGGTTCAAGCGGTAGCATGCTCGCCTGGCATGCACCACATACAAACAAAGATGTTGTGTCTGCCGAAATCTAAAAAAAATAAATATTAAAAAAATAAAAATAAAAAATAAAAAAGCATCAAACCTTACACAGACCTTAGTAAAGCATATTGATAAGTAGCAGATAATCAATAAATAAGAGATGTTGATGTTGAATAGCATTTAAATCAGAAAATTTGACACTGATAGGAATTTTGAATATCTAATTTGACTACCACTTTATTTATTATTATTACACTGGATTTTAAAGTGACAGAATATAACCTTTCCTTTACAGTGTGATTGTTCAATGCATATCAGCTGAAAATTAAATCTCTTGATACCTGTATTAAAGTAACATTTTTTTGAAGAGGAAGTGACGTGCCTATCATGACAGCACTTGAATAGCCATTGACAATGTCTGTCTAATACTCATTATCCAGGCTATTTTGTCTAAGTTGTTGTTTAGTACCTCTTCCACAGTGAATGCTTTCCATTGGGCATAAACATATGATACGAAGAACCCCACACTTTGTGCCTATTCCATATGCCTATCCATGTGTCACTACCCCAAACCTCCTTATTTCCATTCTTCTGATCCTTTTCCTTCCAGGATTATGATCAGCCAGCCAAGGCCAAGCACCATTGCCAATGAGCCCATATATAAATTCTAACTTCAGACCATTTCTCCTTCCATACCTACCAGATGATCAGGTACACCACCCAGAGCTCTGCCCATTAGGATGGTTTTCTTACTCCTGTCCTTAAGACCAATGCTGAGTAAAGCTGTGATGCAGCTGCCAACCATTTCCACCTCCATTCATATCCCAAGTTCTTCAATCCATAAACTAAGTTTTGGTTTTTTCCTTCCCCTTTATCTGGTCATTCTGGTCCCTGGGGGTGAGGTAAGATAGGAGCACTGGCATAACCATAATGAGTGACCGGGTGTCTGAAATTCTATGTATTCATGCATTCATTTGTGTCCTCTGATACTGCAGGGTCCTGTATTGTTTCCTTTTAGGAAGGCTTATGGCTGGTCTTGACCAACTCCATGACTTGGTGGATCCAATAGAACCCAACTCATAAGCATTTCAGGAAGTATAGTCATTTGGTACCTCATAGATTAAAGTTCCTAGTACACCAGGAGCTGTTTTTCAAATGATGTGTAATTCCTGCTATAGATTCCATATGCCTATCCATGTGATAAATAGCATGACCTTTCTCTAAAATCTTGCAATTTTCTCAGGGGTTTTCTCTACCTTGCATCTCTTCCCACTACTGGCACATGCCAGAGTGCATAGCCCAAACAGAAAAGCAATTTGCACCACAGCTTAGACTGCTGCCAGGACAGACTTCATGGGCATGTCAACTCTCAAAAGGTCCCAGTGTTCGTCTTAATGTTCTATTGTCACATTCTTAAAATTATTAATAATTTTTATCTTCTAACTTGTGTGTGTTTTTTTAATCAAATAGGATAAGGCATGTGCATGATCAGAAAAGATAAGCCAAGCCAGCAGACACAGGAGGCAGTGCCATGCACCAAGCAGTTGCCACAAGCATATTCCTCAGGGCAGTCAGGAGCCAGGAGGGAACCAGCCCCAGGTAATGGTAGAGACAGTAGAGAGCATTGGAGAGGCAGCAGTGCTAGTGGAGTGATGATAATGGTAGGAGAG